TTCGTGTGTAGCTTTTCTCCCTTGATGGTTACAGGAATCTCAGCTCCTAGACTGCAAAATCAGCCACTCCCCTCCTTTTGTTACCAAACATTTACATTTATCTTTCCAACACTCACTGTCAGACCTCATAGCAGTCATTCCCTATTGAACCACAGGTGTCCTTTCCCCCACATCTTTTATGAACCCCATCCAGACAGGTTGGAAACAATTCTGTCTTCTTTTTAGTGTTCACTGCTCCTTCTTCCTCTTTCTTGTTTGCTTTGTTTATTTTCTCCTTGTTTCCCTGAAAATTTGTGTTGTCAGTCTTCTTAGTCTCCCCTCTCTTCTTACAACTTTGGTTCATGATAGTGTTTCTTTTACAGTTCTGATAATTTACACTTTGCTTTTACTGTCATTTCCATTAGCAATTAACATGAGAGTTTTAATAACCTCACTAAGGATTATACAGTAATTATTGTTGGAGCCAGGCTAGAACTCAGTTCTCCTGAATCTCTTTTCATTTACTTGATCTACTTCATCATGGCTGAAAGTAGAAATAGCCTTCCATTTAGTGTACTAGTCAAACAATTAAGCAAGCAAACAACAAAAGGGGCTGGGGTGGAGAAGAATTCTCAGTAACTGAATGAGAAAGACTTGTTTCTAGTGTTCTTTCTGCTCAGTGATTCGGTTACAAGAGAAATATAAAACAACTCTTTGTCTACTTTGGTTGGTTCCAAACTATTAAAAATGTATACTTTTTAATCTAATGATCATTGGGATTATATGGAGACTAAATTCACATAACTAATACGACACATTCCACTACACATCTATCAGTTTGTCATACTATGGTGGCTTGCATGTTGCTGTGATTCAGAAACTATGCCCATGGTATTTTAAATACCAGCAGGACCAACCTTGGTGGATGGGTTTCAGATTAGCTTCCAGACAAAGACATGGTAGGAAGAAGGCAAGACAGACTACTTCCAAATATTTAGTCACTGAAAAACCTTATGAACAGCAGTGGAACACTATCAGATAGCACCAGAATATTGACTATTGGATGGTGCAGGGCCAGGCAGTATTTGGTTCTGTTGTGCACAGGGTCATTATGGGTTGGTACCAACTCAAAGACACCTAACAACAACAAGATATGAGACATTATAAATAGAGTCAATGATAACTGTACTTGAGGGTGAGAAAGTCATACATGATATATTAATTTTATTTCTTTTGCAGATTTAAGGGTGTTTGTAAGTAGACTCCATATGTAATATAAAGTAGTAAAACTAATAATACCTTTCTGCACTTATCATTGTTTTGATTAGAATAATGCCTGTCACATAAGCAATAATTATATGCTTTTGCTATTTTCTCCTTCCCTGTTTCTTCTTTTTCTAATTCTTCTAATTCTCACAACAATCCTAAGAAAGTGGTAGTATTGTGAGTATTCCAGAATACTTATTTGTGCTCATGAGGAATCTGTACATGGACAGTTGTTTGAACAGAACATGGAACATTGAATGGTTTCAAATTAAGAAAGGTGTGCGACACAGTTATATTCTTTCACCATATTTATCCAACCTGTATGCTGAGCAAATAATCCAAGAAGCTGGGTTCTATGAAGAAAAACATGGCATCAGGGTTGGAGGAAGACTTGTTAAAAACCCATGATATGCAAATGATACAACCTTGCTTGCTGAAAGTGAAGAGGACTTAAAATACTAGCGTAGTGGTTACGACTCGGGCTGTGAACCGCAAGGTCAGCAGTTCGAAACTACCAGCTGCTCCGCGGGAGAAAGATGAGGCTTTCTACTCCCGTAAAGATTTACACCCTCGGAAACCCTGTACAGGGTCGCTATGAGTCGGTTCCGACTCCACGGCACATAACAACAACAATGAAGATCAAACAGCACAGTCTTCGGTATAGATTGCATCTCAATGTAAAGAAAACAAAAAATCCTCACCACCGGATCAATAAACAACATTCTTATCAATGGAGAAAAGATTGAAGTTGTGAAGGACTTCATTCTTCTTGGATCAACTATCAACAGTCATGGAAGCAGCAGTCAAGAAAATAAACAACATATTGCATTAGGAAAATCTGATGCACAAGACCTTTTTGAAGTGTTGAAGATCAAAGATGTCAGCTTGAGGACTAAGGTGTGCCTGACCCAAGCCATGGTATTTTCAATAACCTCATATGCATGCAAAAGCTGGACAGTGAATAAGGAAGACTGTAGAAGAACTGATGATTTTGAGTTAGGGCGTTGGAGGAGAATATTGAAAGTGCCATGGGATGCCAAAAGAACTAAGAAATTTGTGTTGGAAGAAGTGCAGCTAGAGTGTTCCTTGGAGGCCAGGATTGCCAAACTTCATCTCTCATACTTTGGACATACTGTCAGGAAGGACCAGTCACTGGTAAAGGATATCATGTTTGGTAAGGTGGATTGTTAGAGAAAAAGAGGAAGACCCCCAGTGAGATGGATTGGCAAAGTGGCAGCATCAATGGGCTCAGGTGTGGCAACAATAGTGAGGTTGGCCCAGGACTGGGCCGTGTTTCATTCTGGTGTGAATAAGGTCACTATGAGTGGGTACCGACTTGATGGCACCTAAGAACAACAATAACAACCTACCTGCTTGGAGTTCTGGTATGGTGCTGTGGGCTAATACATCAGACTGCAAAGTCATTTGAAATGCAAGGTCTGTGGTTCAAGCTCACCAGCTGCCTCCTAGAAACCTCATACAGGGTCTCTATGAGTCAGAATAGACTCAAAGGCACTTAAGGTCGCTATGGGTCAGAATCACTTAACAAGAACAACAACCCATCTGCTTAGTCTTTTCACTGTATTTATTGACCAGTTTTGGTTCCATATTAATATAAGTAATTGATGACTACAAATAAATAGCAACCTCCAAAGATGAAGATTTGTCACTGATGAAACAGTGGAAATAATGTATTGTAAGATCTAAACTTAATTCTGAAAGACTTGTCCTCAAAATTCTTTGAGCTAATAAAAGCTATGTTTTGGGCTAAATGTTTGCCATTTAGGGGCTCTGCAGGAAGCATATCTCATTTGGTTATTCTTATGTTTTACTTTTCTTTTTTTAAAATCAGTCATATACTCTGTCTTGTTATACCTAGACAGAGCTCTTATCTCTACACCTTTGTATTAGCCATAATATCTAGAACAGTGTTTAACAAATTGCAGATGTTCAATTAATGTATTGACTGCTTATGTAGAACTGAGGGGAGGAAAATTTGGAATAAAATGTTGTCTGGTTAATTAATTGCAAACTGCTACTCTACTGAACAGCCCTGCTGTGCTGCTGGGGGTAAGTACTGGGGTAATCAGAAGACTGGAAGTTTAAACCCACCAGCTGCTTTAGGAAACCCTATGAAAGGTCGCTATGAATTGGAACTGACTCGATGGCACACAACAACAAAACAACACATTACTTAAAATTATTTCACATTTTTCTATGGTTTCTTGATTGTGCATTTGTTAGCGATTTATGATTTGTGTACAATTTGTATAATTTATTAAACTCTAAATACTTATAAAGAATCACTTGTAGAATTTTCCTAGAGTTATTATTTTTAATGGAAAGAAATGTTAGTGTAAAGACAAGCCTGTTGCAATCATCCTTTATGAACTTTCTTAAAAGAATCATTGAAATTTAGATCTGGTTGAGATACCATTGTTGTAGCCTAAATACACAGAAAAATATATGAAACATAGTTGGAATTTAGTAAATCATTCATAAATAAAGGAATCATTTATTTTCTTCATTTCACAGTTGAAGAAACAGAGGCACAGATAATTTGCTAACAATCACACATGGCATGTTGTTATGTTGTTACTATGTGCTGTGGAGTCAGTTCTGACTCATATATAGGATATAAGGTGGTTGGTAGGTTTGAACTGTTGACCTTACAGTTACTAGACCAGTGCTTATCCTACAACACCATACTAGGGCCCATAAAATGGCCTAGAAGATATTAAAATAACATTTCCTTGATGTTGTCTTGCATTAAATGTAGATTACACACTTCCGTTAATTCCTTGTGTGGTGCTGCAGGATAATCACTGGACTTGGAACCATACAGTCAATGGTTCAAACCCACCAGCTGTTCCTAAGAAACACTACACAATGTTGCTATGAGTTGGAACCAAGTCAACAGCACTTAACAAGAACAGCAACAACAACACATTTCAATTGCAATATGGAAAACCCTTTTTAATTTTCTTTGAATAAATCAAAGTGTTAGGCTAATGTTTAGTACATTATAGGAGGACAGAGCTAAGAATTTGTCCATACAAGAAAATTTTAAGGGGAAAGTAAAGTAAAATGTCTTCAAGTGGTTTATTTTGTTCTCAAGTACTGTCCAATTTGTTCCAACTCACAGTGACACTGTATAGAGTTTCTGAGGAGTGGCTGGTGGGTTTGAATCGATTTGCAAGACTGAGGTGTAGGCTAAGTTATAGGCTAAGACCTTGGAGTCCAGTGCTTAGCCTACAGTGCCACAAGGGGTCTCAATTGATTCATTTCTTCTCTCTTTACGGTAGTTTTGTTTTCTGTTATATATTATTAGGGGCTGCTATGTGGTACTATATAGCACCTTGGGATAAGCACTTGACCTCAAGGTCAGTTTGAACTGCAAGGTCAGTGGTTCCAAATTACCTGCCGCTCCTAGGAAACCCTATGCAGGGCTGCTATGAGTTGGAACCACTCGATAACACTTAACAACAACAACAATGTGATGCTGTAAGATAAGCACTGGACTGTTAACTGCTAGGTCAATGATTCAAAGCTTCTAGCTGCTCCTCTGAAACCCTATCTGGGTTGCTCTGAGTTGGAACCAACTCAACAGCACTTAACAGTAACAAATTCCCAATGAAAGGCTTTAATGCTGGAACCATTTGTCTTAAAATATAACCCATTCTCCTAATTCTCTGAATCTCTTAGACTTTCAAGAAATTGTAAATTGTGTTCATTGATTATCTTCTATTTTACAGGATGAAAAACAAGAGTCAAATTCATGCATCTGCTTGAAAGGGCCTAAATTGTCAGAAGTAGGGACAATTGCTTGGATGATAACCCTCAGTGATGCCCTCCACAATTTCATTGATGGTCTGGCAATTGGAGCTTCCTTCACCTTGTCGCTCCTTCAAGGACTCAGTACTTCCATAGCAATCCTGTGTGAGGAGTTTCCTCATGAGCTAGGTAAAGGTCTCTGCTTCTTGATTTTAGTGGAATAGAACATGAGTGTGTTTCAAAAGCTTCATGGAAAAATTCTACTACTTTTAATTCTATTTTTCCATGAACATCTCTGTTATATAAGTGAAAAGCTCTTAAAATCCTGAAAATGTATCACAATGAAGGATCACATGTGGGGCATTGATGGTGACCTTTTATCTCATTAAAAATATAGAAAAAAAATTATATTCACTTGATACTGTTTTTTCTTCTAGGGGACTTTGTGATACTACTCAATGCTGGGATGAGCCCTCGACAAGCTTTGCTATTCAACTTTCTTTCTGCATGTTCCTGCTATGTTGGGCTAGCTTTTGGCATTTTGGTAGGCAACAATTTTGCTCCAAATATCATCTTTGCCCTAGCTGGAGGCATGTTCCTCTATATTTCTCTGGCAGATATGGTAAGAAATTTTAGATTTTATTTTGCTTTACTTTTTTTTTTAAATGAACATCTGTGTTATTATGCATTCCACAGTGTGCAAGGCCTTCTTAATTGTAATTTAAAACATTATCAGTTTACGAAAAGTCAGGGACATAGAGCGTGGTGTGACTTGTGCAGACGTGATGGTGGAAGCCATGGCCACAGGTGCCGGCTGAGAGCGGTGGTTGCAGAAGGTACCTCAGGCCCTGCGGTCTTGAGTCTGGGTTGCAGCTTCTGAAGCTACCAACCCTTAGAACCCCAGGTGTTGGTCTGAGCCTGAGCTGAGGTCTGACAAGTTTCTCCTGCATGAAGACCTGAGGCTGCAGTCCTGGTAGGACTGACAAGGCCTGACGTGCGCCCACAGTCATTCATAATCTGCCAGCTAGTTCCCAGCTCTACCCAAGGTCATGAGGAGGCGGCTGTCTGCAACGGAACCCAGTCCACCCTTCCCACTACTGGGCATTGTAATAGGCTCTTGTGTTATACCACTGAGGCATGGAGGTCTGTCGCTGGTGCTGACCATGGCGTTTTTTTTTTACCCCGTGGTGGAAGATCCTTACATGTTGGGGGCACAGCTAGTGCCAATGTTCTGAGTGACCCTTGCCATAGGCATTACTGAATATGACAACATGTTGATGTCTTAGAGTCATCCAGAATATGAGTGAGGAAGAACAAGAGAAGATAGCACCACTCATAATCAAAGGCTTTCGAGATGCTGTTGAGGAAGGAGGCACTGCAGTGACTAGTGGGCAAACAGTGGTCAATCCTCAGATTATCGTTGGTGGAGTTGCCACCGTGGTTTGTTAGCCCAATGAGTTTATAATGCTGGACAGTGCATTTGTTGGAGATGTGCTGTTGTTAACCAAACTCTTAGGAAACCAAGTTGGCTGTCAATGCCCACCAATGGCTGGATAATCCTGAAAGATGGAATAAAATAAAGATGGTAGTCTACAGAGAAGAAGTAGAGATGGCCTATCAACACGCTATGTTCAATATGGCTACCCTCAACAGACTTGCTGTTGGCTTAATGCACACATTTAATGCCCATGATGCCACAGATATCACAGGATTTGGCATTCTAGGATATTCTCAGAATCTTAAGAAACAGCAAAGAAATGAGGTGTCCTTTGTTATTCATATTCAGCCAATCATTGCCAAGATGGCTGCCATTAACAAAGCCAGTAGAAGATTTTGGCTCCTTCAGGAATTTAGCTGAAATCTCAGGAGGGCTTCCAGGTTGTCTGCCAAGAGAATGGGCAGCCCGTTTTTGTTCTGAAGTCAAATCTTCCAGGTACGGAGAAGGCCATCAAGCATGGATCATAGGTATTGTACAAAAGGGAAACCAGACGGCCCGGATCATTGACAAGCCTCGAGTTATAGAAATTCTACCTCACAGGGGCCACTACAACTTCTCTTGCTCCTGACATTTTCAGTGCATCCTCTGTTGTTGTTAAGTACCATGGAGCGGGTTTCAACTCATAGTGAGCCTGCATAGGGTTTCCGAGGCTACAAATCTTTACGGGAGCAGATAGCTTCATCTTTCTCCCGTGGAACGGCTGGTAGTTTCGAACTGCTGACTTTGAGGTTGGCAGCCTGACTCGTAATCACTATGCTACCAGAACTCCTTTACGAGATAGAATAGCAGAATTTGTTTGGACCATAGAGTTTTTGTAGGCAATCATGGATGATTCTCAGGAGTTGATTTTAAGAAGATGCAAATTCCAATGTCTGCCTGCATAGTGGTTTCAGCTGCCCTCTCAAAATGATTTGAATCACCTCATCAAAGCCAGCTTTTATGTATATTCATTCCAAGACCAGAAATAACATTCTGGACTATGGAGGGAGACTTCATTCATCTCTTGAGTAGAAAGGGAGCAGAAGAATTGTTTTCCTCTTTTCCAGGAGCACTTAACAACAATATATTTAGAAAATTATTTTGGAATATGTTTTGAAATACATCTTCTCATGTAGCCTTTTCAGTAGAAGTTATCTGCTGAGACAGGGTAGATTTTAAGCGCAGTATTTGGGGTTTTAATCGCTTTCACTATAATGAGATTTATTGGCTTCAATCTCAGCACATAATTTATTTTAAAACCCTTTGTGAGGATACAAAAAGCAGAAAGAAGCAAAAATAAAGAGATCAGGAATTGAATGTAGACTGATTTCCAAAAAATGATTCAATCAACTGCTATTTATTGATATTTTTGTACCAAATCTAAGAATCTGTAAGGCCCCAAGGACACTGAAGTGAGAAAACATGCACAATTCTTGTATTCAGTCTGCAGGGAAAGGAACTAGAAATTTAAAAAAAAACACAAACCAACAACTCTTTACTGTGAATTGAATGAAGGTTTACAGATAAGATCATTAATTTTACATTCAACAAATCATATACTTTGTTTCATCTCAATGATTGCAATCCCTCCATGCAACAATATTTAACCCACTTTCTCCATGTACAAAGAATCCTCTTTTAAATTTAAAGAATACTGTTGTTCCAAGGTTGTGTATATATCTCTATCCCTTTTAACCCTTACATATCTTCCTGTGTCTTACATTATTTTCTTATTGAAGTGTTCTATAAATTTTAGATATTAGTCCCTTGTCTGATATGTCACTGATTTTTTTTTTTTTTTTCCCCAACTGTGCGCTCCCTTTTTATTCTTTTGGTGAAATCTTTTTATGTACATAACTGTGTAATTTTTAGGGGGTCCAAATCATCTATCATGTCTTCTGCTGTTTGATAGTATATTGTTGTTTAGTACCATCGAGTCAGCGCTAACATAGTTCTGACTCATAGCCAACCTGTATAGGGTTTTCAAGGAATGGCTGGTGAACTTGAATGACTGAACTTGTGGTTCAAACCAACCTTCCAGTCCAGTGCATTAACCTGCAGTGCCATACCAGAACCCCATGTATTGTTGTTGTTGTTAAGTGCCATCGAGTCAATTCCGACCCATAGCAACTCTGTATAGAGTTTCCAAGGAACAGCTGGTGAGCTTGAACCACCGACCTTGCAGTTCAAGCGACTTTGCTGACGCATCAGCCCACAGCACCACACCAGGACGCCTCCATTATTAGAACCCCTAAATTTTGTCCCTATTTTTTCATTGATGCTTGTTATAGTTCTAGGTTTTACATTTAGGTTTTTAATTCACATTGAGTTTGTTTATCTATATGGTGTTTATCTATATGGTCTTGTTACCTTCTTATGCAAACAGATTTACAGTTCTGCCAGCACCATTTGTTGAAGGGACTTCAATTCTTCCCCCATTTAATGAGTTTGGGCCCTTTGTCAAAGATCATCTGCCTATATGTATGCCTATGGATTATTTATTTTTAGATTTTCAATTCTGTTTCATTGATCTAAGTATCTTTCGTTGCTCCAGCCAGTACCAGCCTATTTTGACCACTCTGACTGTGTAGTCAATTTTGAAGTCAGGGAATGAGGGGTCTCCAACTTTGTTCTTCTTAACAAAGCAGTTCTTTGATTATCTGAGAATTATTTCCATATAAAGTTAGTGATCATTTTTTCTAAGGAATGTTGTTAGAATCTGGGCTGGGATTTTGTTATATCTGTAGATGGCTTTGGAAAGTGTTGACAATTTCATAATATTAAGTCTTCCTATCCATGGGCATTGTATATTCTGCCATTTTTGCAAGTCTCTTTTGGTTTCTTGTAGTAGTGTTCTGTAGTTTTCTTTGTATAGGTCTTTTCGTTCTTTGGTTAGATTTATTCCTAAGTATTTCATCGTTTGGGTGGCTAATGCAAATGGTATTGTTTTCATAATTTCCTTTTCAGAACAGTCTTTATTAGTGTTTAGGAATCCAACTGATTTTTGTACCCTGCCACTTTGCTGAATCTTTCCATGAATTTTGGAATTTTCTATGTATAGGAACTTATCATCTGTAAACAGAGCTTTACTTAGTCTTTACCAATTTGGATGCTTTTAATTTTCGTTTCTTGTCTTATAGCTCTGGTTAAGACTTTCAACACAATATTGAATAAAAGCGGTGATAAAGGGCATCTTTGTCTGGTTCTTGTTCACAAAGGGAATGTTGGCTACTGGATTTGCATATGTGCTCTTAATTGTTTTGAGGAACTTCCCTTCAATTCCTACTTTGTTGAGTGTTTTTATCAGGAATGAATGTTTAATTTCTTCAAATGCCTTTTCTGCATCAATCCATATTATCATGTGCTTCTTTTCTTTATTTTATTTCAACAGTGAATTATGTTGATTGATTATTTTTCTAATAGTGAACAATCCTTGCATCCCTGGGATGAATCCCACTTGGTCATGATGCTTTTTTTTTATACATTGTAGAATTTGTTGGTTAGGATTTTGTTGAGAACTTTTGTATCTATATTTATGAGGGTCTATAATTTTATTTTTTAGTGATGTCTTTGCCTGGTTTGGGTATGATGGTTATGTTTGCTTCATAAAATATATTTGGGAGTGTTCTATGTTTTGGAATTGTAGTAGTGGTTAGTAAGTGCCATCAAGTTGGTTCTGACTCGCAGTGACACTGTATTCTCAGGATTTCTGTGGAATGACTGGTGGATTTGAAGTGCCTACCTTGTGGTTCAAACTAACCTTGTGGTCTAGTGCTTATTCTATAGCACTACACCAAGACTCCTGGCTCTCCATTGGGGAATACTTTGAATAAAAATTCGTTTCAGCTTTTCTCTGAGTGTTTGGTAGAATTCATCAGTAATGCTGTCTTGGCCTGGATATTTTTGTAGTTGTTAGGAGTTTAAAAATTACCTTATCATTCCCTTCTTTTGTTTTACATTTATTCAAGTTTTCTACTTCACTCTGTGTTAGTTTGGGTAAGTTGTGTTTTCTGAAAAGGTATCAATTTCCTCTAGATTTTCAAATATATTGGAGTACAATTCTTCATAGTATTCAGTTATTGTCCTTTATATTTCCATTGGTTCTTTTTTTTTTGTCACCCCTACTGCCCTTTTTGGAGTCCTGGTGTGGCGCTGTGGGCTAATTCGCCAGACTGCAAAGTTGTTTGAACTGCAATGTCAGTAGTTCAAGCTCACCAGCTGCTCAGAAACCCTATGCAGGGTCGCTGTGGGTTGGAACCAACTCAATGGCACTTAACAACAATTGCCCTTTTGCATGAAAAGTTACTTCTCCTTTTCCTGTTAGATTTCCCATTGAGTTGCCAATTTTATTAATCCTTTCAAAAAACCAACTTCTTATCTAGCTGGGGAACCTTAAATTTAAAAATACATATGCAAATAAATATATAAATTATTACAAATAATAAAAAGAAGCTATGAAAGAAAAGGGAAAGCAATATACATGATGACAGATGATAATAGTGTACAGGTGGTGCTGGAGAAGCTAATGTAAATGTGGAGGGGCTAAAGAAACAGTCTCTAAAAAAGTATAATTTAATTTGATACCTGAAGAATTTATCCCATTGAGAAATTGGAGAGGGAAGAGTCCAGGTAGGTTTGGGCATGTGTGATAATTTTGAGGCAGGAAATTGCTAGGTGCATTTGAGACTCTAAAGGAAGGTTGGTGTGGATAGAACACAGCAAGGAAAGAAGGAAAAAGGTTAAGAAGGAGGGAAAAAAAGATAAAGAGAATGAATGATAAAGAACAAGGTAAATCCAATTCAATTGATTGGAACAGTTGAAGAAAACTACTTAAGTACTTTTCTTCATGTAGATTGATGATTTCCTTATTACACTATAGTTGTTAAGTGCCGTCAAGTCTGGTTTCTGAGGAGTGCTGGTGAATTTGAATCTCTGAACTTTCATTAATATCTTTTGGTCAAGTGTTTATTCTACAGCACTACATCAGGATGGTAAAATGTTTAAATGTAGGAAACAATAATCATTTTACCTCCACAGAAATTTGTAAATTACTATTTTATGTTTTACCACAAGATGGCAGCAGTTATCTAACAATATATCTTTCTTTTAGTTTCCAGAGATGAATGATATGCTGAGAGAAAAGGTAACCGGAAGAAAAACAGATTTCACCTTTTTCATGATTCAGAATGCTGGAATGTTAACTGGATTCATAGCCATTCTGCTCATTACCTTGTTTGCAGGAGACATTGAATTGGAGTAGTAAAGAATGGAAGATGGTGCTGTTAATGAAGGCATTTAATAAATTAAAAAAAAAAAATTTATATATATATCCAAAGGGATTTTAAAGCTGATCCTAGTTAAAAGATAATTTGTTTTCAATTGTAGGTCAAGAAAACTAGCTATTGGTTTTAGATCAATGAAATAGATGATTACTTGTAGTTAAAGATGTTCCAAAAAGTTTTTAGTTTCAGTTGTAAAGTGCTTGGTATATGGGATCTTTAATAAACACCCATTTTTCTATGTTACACTACATGCATATTAGAAAACCGTAATGGAACAAAAGACATGGATTCTACAATCATTCCGATACCAAGACTCAAAGAAAAACACTAGATAGACTCAAAGGTCCAAGTGATTTCCAATTTGCACATTTTTAACCAAAGTGAATGTGATATAATGCTTTCAAGGATAAGTACATCAAACTGTGGAAGAGAAACAAAATGTATACAGCACAGATACAAATGATTCCAGACCTTAATGAATTTAAGAAAGAAAAATAGTTCATAACTTTTGTTGTTTTATATATAATTCAGTTAGGGGCTTGTAGGATTATTTTGAAAACTATTTTGCAAAAGTGTTAATTATGAAACCAACAAAGTTTTATAGTTCTACTAAGTTCAGACTTTACCTGATGCTTTATTTCTAAGTATGGTCTCAAAAAAATTCATAAAAAATGAAGTGATTTTTTTGTTTGTGGGTTTTTGCTTTTTTTTTTGACTTTTGTTATGGTTGCAACCATTACAAGTGGCATTATGTTAAGCTGGCAGAAACTCAGTTTCAGTGTACAATGTATCTGACTTGTGAAGGTGAACAATATGTTGGTTTGTAGAAAGAAATCAAATGACTTTTTAAACAATCTACTTTTAAAGATATACACTATTATTCAGCAAATATTTTTTTAAAAACTCAATGCAAAATAACAGCTGAATTGCTGTCCAAGGAGGGTTAACTAGACAGCATATATTCCTTAAGGGTGTTTGGGAGAAATTTAGAAAAGATATATTTTGTGTTCTGTCTATATTTTTCATAGTTGGTGTGCCTTGGGGTGGGGGTCAGGGGAGTCAGCATACCATGGTTATTTTTCTAACTTTTATAAGTGTTATTAAATACCATTGAGTCAGCACTTTTGTCCATTGTGGACTCATGGCAACCTCGTGAACAGTGGAATAAAATACTGCTCAATACTGCACTATCCCCATGATTGATTACTGACATGACCTTTGTGATTCACGTGTTTATTCAGGTAGCAGATAAAGAAAGTTAGGTCAAATTTGAGACTCTTACCCTGAATTTACACTTCAAAGTTAGAGAAAGATAATTTAGCTGTAAGAAGAATTATCAGTAAAAGCCACAAATGATTTCAGAAATTACATTGTCCCATGAACCATCAAATGTTATCACATAACAGTAATGCAGATCTGATAAGCATTTAACATGTATGTTCATGTATATTTTTGTGTTATGACTGACAATTAAAGTTTAATGTTTGATCAAATAGTAAACACCTTTAAAATCATAGATGGTGTTATTCAGTTATTGTGTATCTTCGTGAATATATACCATGTACCAGGAATTATGGGGGTGGGAGAGATGAATAGGAAATTGTTGCTCTGCTTATTGCATAGACATTTAATGAATGAGCACTGCAAAGGCAAATCACTACTCATTAAAATTAGTAAAGAGAATATATTTTTATTTTATCTGTTTACATTAAAATTTAGGAAGTAATCTTTACCTTTTTAAGGCATAAATTGTATATCTGAAATAAGCTATTTACAGTGTTACATTAAAACAAAATAGTTTAACAAACTCTTACTTATGTCACTGTGAATGTGGATTGTGTGTGTGCTTCTTGTTATGTTGTTGTTCAGTGCCATACGGTCAATTCTGACTCACAGCGACCCTGCATAGGGTTTCTAAAGAGTGGCTGGTGAGTTTGAACTGCCGATGTTGTAGATCAAACAGACTTTGTGTTCCAGTGCTTATCCTACAGTGCCACACCAGGACTCCATGCCTAGCTGTCATTTATTGAGTACTGTTATCATGATATTGTGATTAATGAATTACCTCAAAAGTCTGAGACTAACAACAACAGGCTGTTATTTTCTTGTTCACAAATCTGTTGATTGAAATTCAGCTAACCTAGTTTGGGTTCTGCTGAGTAGCTTGACTTCCAGCTGTGGGTTAGGTAGGCACTGTTAGTGGGAACTGCTAGAAAGCATATGGGAAAGCACATGAATGTAGATGTCTAATAAATGGAGAGACTGAAAAACTATGAATGGATTTAATCTGTCAGGTGTAGTTTTTATAGACTATTATCTAATTTTACCTGTTGTTGAGTTGGCCCCAGGTCGACAACTAATGGTGACTCAATGCACAATGGAAGTAAACACTGCCTGGTCCTGTATCATTCCCATAATCACTTGTACAATAGATTCTTATGACTCAAAGGTTTTTCACTGACTGAATTCAAAAAGTATATCTCCATTTGTTCTGTAAATCTTCACTCAAGTTACAATAAAATGATTTTTTGTTTAAAAACTGAAGTAGATCTCCAGGCTTTTCTTATGCTAGAAACTCCTGACACTGATTTGATATTGTTGTTAAGTACTTCCAGTGAGTCTGACTCATAGTGACTCATAAGTTTTACAGAGAGCAAAAGGTGGGTTTGAACTACAATCTTGTGCTTAGCAACAGTCCTGTGCTTATCCTACAGTGCCACACCAGGACTACAGTTTAGTATCAAAATAATATTTGTTGTTGTTGTTGTTAGGTGCATTCCTGTCAGCTGTTTCTCATGGCCACCCTATGAATAACAGAATGAAACATTGCCCTGTCCTGTGCCATTTTCATAACTGCTGCTGCCACTGTGCCAATCATTTCACTGGGGTCTTCTTTTTCGAGAATCTTCCACTTTGCCAAGCATAGTTTTATTCTACAGGGACTGGTTCCTCTTGATAATATCTCCATAGTGTGGCAGATGAAGTCTGGCCATACTGGCTTCTAAAGAGTCTTCTGGCTGTACTTCTTCCAACACAGATTTGTTTGTTCTTTTGGCAGTTCATACTACTTTTAATGTACTTTTCCAATACCATACCAACACTCATCTGTCAATCTGTCATACTGTGGTGACCTGTATGTTGCTGTGATTCTGGAAGCTATGACACAGGTATTATAAATACCAGTAGGGACACCCATGGCAGATAGGATTCAGCTTTAGCTTACAGATGAAGACAGACTAGGAAGAAGGAGAGATGGACTACTCCTGAATATTTAGTCACTAAAGACCTTATGATTAGCAGTGGAACACTGTCAGCACTATAATACTGAATCATGAAACACGATGAAGAGCATCAGAATATTTTCAGATATTGTGCTGGAAGATGAAACTCTCAAATTGGAGGCACTCAAAATGCAACTAGGGAAGAGCTGCCTCCATAAGGTAGAGTTGACCACGATGACGTGAATGGAATAAAGCCTCCGGGACCTTCATTTGCTGATGGGGCACAGCTCAAAATAAAGAGAAGCAGCTGTAAACACCCATTAATAATTGGGACATGGAATATACAAGGTATGAATCTAGGAAATTTGGAAGTTGTCGAAAATGAAATGAAGCATCAGTATCCTAGGCATTAGTGAGCTGAAATGGATTGGTACTGCATTTTGAATTAAAGCTAGTGATGATAAAATTGAAGAATTCTACCAACTTCTTCAGTCTAAATTGATCTAACATGCAATCAAGATGTATTGATAATTGCTGGTGATTGAAAGGCAAAGATTGGAAACAAAGAGGAAGGATCAGTAGTTGGAAAAATATGGCCTTGGTGATGGAAATGATGCTGGTGATCAGATGATAGAATTTTGCAAGACCAATGACTTCTTCATTGCAAAGATCTTTTTTTCTTAAAGCTTTTGTTGTGACTTGAGTGATAGTTTACAGGGCAGATCATCAGTTTTGCACTCAACCAATCATAATTTGTTTCAGTGCAATGATTATAATTCCCTCAATGCACCCACCATTGCTTAACAATATTTACCTCTATCCCCTCTTTTTTTAAATGCACAAAAAACACACACAGGAAATATATATTTGTTTAAACAGAAAAGGGCACATTTTGCAAGCCAGCCTCCTGCCCTCCAGCACACAGCCTTTCTCATTCTATGGGTCCAGAGTCTTCAGCTGCTCTATCTCTTTATGCCACCACCTCTGCTTCCATCTCTGGTGTTGCTGCTTCTCTGGTTAGGATTCCATGCTCAGCTCATGCTGACCCTCTTGATGGTTCTAGGGACCTCTGTTCCTGGAATGAAAGATTAACTACTCCCTCCTTTTGGTGCAAATCTGCAACCTCTATTTCTGCTTATCTGTCAGACTTCTTTGATGGGAGCACTCTTGTCCCTTTATCCATGCACTCCCATTAAAAATGGTTACACCAGGACTCCTTGGCCTCTGCAAATCAGAAGCCATCTTCTTTCTTGCTTCTGCTCCAAATCTTACTTCTATTAAGCACTTGATCCTTTCATTTGTCGCAAACACTTTTTTAAACAATATAAAAAATGACTATACACATGGACCTCACCAGATTCTCTAGAAAGAAATGGTGGAAAAACTCCATAGTATAAGTTACAAAAAGGCCAGGGCAGACTTTAGAACAGATCATCAATTGCTCATATACAAGTTCAGGCTGAAAGTGAAGAAAATGAAAACAAGTCAATAAGAGTTAAAACATGACCTGGAACATATCCCTTCTGAACTTAGATATCATCTAAAGAATGAATTTGATGCATTAGACAGTAGAGATCAAAGACCAGAAGAGTTGTGGGATGACATTAAAAGAACATCATACAGGAAGAAAATAAAAAGTCATTAAGAAGACAACAAAGAAGGAAAAGACGAAAATGGATGTCAGAAGAGACTCTGAAATTTGCTCTACAACATAGAGATGCTAAAGCAAATGGAAGAAATGAGGAGGCAAAAGAGCTGAACAGAAGTTTCAAAGGTCAGCTCAAGAAGACAAAGTTAAATA